TTTGCATGTGTTTCGGGTTCCCCCCCAAGACGGCCCAAGAGCGCTCCAAGAGAGCCCAAGACCGCCCAAGACGGCCCAAGAGGCCCCCAAGAGGCTCCCCAAAGGCGGAAAACGTACATTTTTAGCATGTACAGCTTTTCGGCTGTCACGGCGTGGACGACTGCCCAAGAGGCCCCCAAGACCGCCCCAACACGGCCCAAGAGGCTTCCAAGAGGCACCCAAAACAGCCCAAGAGGGCCCCAGACGGCCCCAGAGGCGCCCAAGACGGCCCCAGAGGGCCCCAAGACGGCCTCAAGAGGGGAACCACGAACCGAAAAGTTTAGCCTTTCGCCCCAAGACGCGCCCAGGAGGCCCCCAGAGCCCCCCAAAAAGCCCCAAGAGGCCCCCAAGAGGCGTCCCAAAAGGCCACCAGGAGGCCAAAATCATTGATTGTCCTTCGGGGAAACGTACATGTTTTGATCGCTTTATTTGCCAGTGGCTCAGACTGCTTGAGGATTCGAACGAAGCACGGGCAAGCTAGGCTGGCTAGTGCGACACAGATCTGCTCAAGGTACCATTAAACGAGGCATTGGGCTGGCGTGGGCCGGAAGAAGTGCCTTGAGCGAGAAGGCGACAGACATTAGCAATCATTCACGTGCATCACTTACATGATCGCTTTATTTGCCAGTGGCTCAGACTGCTTGAGGATTCGAACGAAGCACGGGCAAGCTAGGCTGGCTAGTGCGACACAGATCTGCCATACTTCAACCTGAAACAAAATCCATAACTCAAGCATTGTGCTGGGGCTTAACCCGCATTCGTTTCCATCTTCCGGTGGAATGCTGTGCTATACACGTTCGGCGCAGTGTGTCAGCCAGGAGTGCGCAGAGGGCGGGGGGATGAGCGTTTTTGAGACGGGTGAGGAAACCACCCTCCGAAAAGCAACCGGAGAGCTCGAGGTGAGGCTTACCGGTAAAGGAGCAGACCCCTCTGCCTTTGCACACTACTTCCAGAGCCTTATCCGAGTGCGAGCTCGCATGGGGCGACCACAAGCACAGTAATCGACAATCCTATCACAGACATCGGGAAGCTTGGCGAACGAGCGGCGGTCGGGGCGAAGCCACAGGAAACTTTGCCAAGGGTTCTCCTCGCCGCCTGGAATATTTAACCTATAGCAGAGGCGCTGAATACGCTGTGAGACCCACCCTACTCTGTTTGAGACGCGAAGGCTCTCGAGGTCTTTACCCGTGAGGCCCGGGATCCCAAGAGGAAAACGGGGGATCCGAAGAGCCGAGGGCATGTTGCTGGACGGGGGGGCCCGACGGGCCCTCGAGTACCCGCCACAGGGTGTTCCTAGGAAAACGAGTTTGACCAGTCCAGAAGTTAGCCATCCTCGGAAGATCCTCCAGACCCCCGGGCGCGTCAAATCGAAATGGTCACCGTGCTGGATGTCCCATTCAACAACAGCCTCACCTCTCTGCCTCAGATGTTTGCTCAGCGCCCCACACCCCGAGAAGACTTCGATGCGCACTCTTGTCTGATGGGGGGCGCTCCGAAATGCAGCACCAAGGACCTGTTGAAGACGCCCGCGTAGTCCCCGCCTGCTGCTCGGAGGGCCTCGCGCTGCTGGTCGCTGAGCTTGCGGAGTTCCAGCGAGAGGCGCCCGTGCTTCTCGTAGCGCAGCACGGATTTGAACGCCTTCCACCCCCCTCGCTGCTGCACGGCGCCTAAGCCTCTGGCGCCCGTGCTTCGGTCGCGGCTGGCCCCTCCATGCCGGAGGGAGTAGAGGGTGGCCTTGAGTAAGCTCACACCCAGAGCGGAGGTCGCGCTCTGGAAGTCCTCCGCCAGTTGGTTGTAGCCCAGGCCCAGGAAGAGGTCGTCTGGCCCGCGAAGGGCCTGCACAAAGGAGATTGGATCCACCATCCACTGCTGCCTGGGAAGGTCGAGTGGAACTGAGAGGTCGTACTCGTTGGTCTTGGTCGGGATCTCGTATTCCGAGGCCCGCACCACGAACGTCAAGAAAACCGATGCGCCTCCCTCCTTTGGCAGTGGCAGGACTACTTGCCTTGCTCGCAGGGCCAGCATTTCCGAGGGGCGCATGTAGGTCTCGAACATGATCAGAACGGCCAAGCCACTGAGCGGCTTCCCAGCCCGGCACAGCCAGCAGGCCACTGCCCGCACCACCAAGAACGGGACGGGCGGTCTGGATTTGGACGGCTCCAGGACGTTCCAGCCCTTCAGCGTCTGGTGCGCCAGGGGGAAGACCTCGCGGATCCCAGCCCTGTGGAGGGCGGGCTCCGCCCAGAGCAGCGCCGGGGCCAGCCGCTGAGTAGACGCCTTGGAGCCCCCGCGGTCGTAGATTGACTCGGCGTACTCTGCCAGCGTCTCGCCCCACGCGTGGCGCGGCCAGTCCGGGAGGAAGGCCATATTCAGCCAGCGCACCAAGCCGAGGATCATCCCGAGGTAAAGCTCCTGCGTGCGAGGCCTGACCTTGGCGGCCGCAAGGCGGGTCTGGCGCGGGCACAGCTGGCGCCTCCTCAGGTCGAAGACGCTCTCCGAGTGACTGAGGCCAAGCCTTGCGCGCCGCCCAGCCAAGTCTGGCCTGCTCCCGGGCCCGGCCAGCACCGGGACCACGGCCCGCCTCGGCATGCCCTGGCAGCGGCTGCCCGGGCGGTGAGGCGAACGGCTCCTGCGCTCGCTCGGCGCGCGAGGGCCGGAGCGGAAGCTCGCCGAGGCCACCGGCATGGGCGGCGCCGCCCGGAGCGTCGCCACCTCCATGCACGCTCTCGGGGCCTTGAGGCTGAAAGCGTCGAGACGGACCGTCGCTTGGGTTCCACTCTGAGGGGAGCCACCTCACCTGAACCTTCAGATCTGCTGCGACTCCCACTGCAAAAAGGACACGACAGACTCCCAAGATACGATGATTGGCAGCACGACCTTTGGCGGCAGCGAGAGTGAGGGACATGTTATCGCCAAGAAAGAGTCGGCGAGAACAGTGCTCCCGAGCGCCCCTAGCTGCCCGGCGGACGGCCCAAGTCAGAGCGGCCCCCTCAAGCCCGTGGATGGCCTCCTTGCGCTTCCAGCGGCCGCAGCCAACTACGCGCCAGGGCCGAGCGTGCATCTTGCCGTAGTCGACCTCCGGGAAACCTGCCGAACGACCTGCCAGCAGGAGGGCGGGCTCTGGTGCCCGCGCTATCTCCTGCTCCAGCGCCCTCTCGCGGGGGGCGCCCTCGGCAGCGAGCACGCCTCGGAATCGGGCGCGCTCGGAGATCCGGCCGACGCGCTGCACGTCCTTGAGGCCCCACTCGGTCTCCACGATGCCGTAGCCCCAGAGGGGCGCGTCGAAGCAGGTGACCGCCTCGCTCCACGGGCGCCGGGTGTCGGCCCGAAGACAAGGTAGCAGCGCCTTGACCCAGCCCATCTCACGGGCCACACTTTTCCAGAGCGGCTGCTTCTTGGAGTAGGAGGCCTGCGCGAACTCGTATGAGGAGTGCAGCATGGCCAGCCCCTCCCGACGCAGCATCAGGATGGAGACCAGGTGGCCAATCAGACGCTCGAGCTCTTGGCCAGAGACCTTGGCCCGACCCGAGAGGACATACTCGAGGGCACCGTAGACCCGCCATAGCCGGCGGCCCAGCACATGCCAGCAGCCCGTCTGCAGGTCGAGCTCGCATCCCAGCAGCTCGCCGCGACCAGCTGGGGCGGGGTCTAGCTCCGAGACAACGCCCTTGGCCGCGAGGGCCGCCTGCATGTCGGCGACGGCGGTGGCGGCACGGTCGGGCGACTGAGACAGCACAGCAAAGTTGTCTATGTACAGGACCTTGGCATCCTCAGAGTTCAAGTCGATACCGGGGCACTTGTCCAAGCACCACGGCTGCGTTGGCAAAACTGACGTGACGAGGTGAAGGTGTGCTTCTTGAATAAAGTGCACTGCCCAGCTCCAGCCCATGGGCACCACCTTGAATCGAAAGCGAACCTGGCCGCTCTTCAACGTCAGCCCGCAGGCGCCCCGAACCTCTGATGGCAGGAAGCGACTCTCGATCAGCGGGAGGTTGAAGTAGCGCCTGCACCAGGGCGGCAATGCATATTGATAGAAACAGCAGTCGACGCTTCCAGAACTCATGCCGATCATAGTGACTCCTGACGCCTCCAGCGAGGATAACGCCTCGCCCGTCGCGAGCGCCGTGTGCTCTGGAGTGGTAAAGTGCATGTTGGGTGTCCTGGTGTCGCAGATGAGACGCAACCGCTTGTCTTTGCGAGCCACAAAAAACATGCCAGCTTCCTCCAACACTGGCTCCGAGCTGGCCTCGATCACTCCAGAGGTGTAGAGCTCCCCCAGCGCGTAGCCGTAGTCGTAGCCGAGCCGCCCGAGCTTCGGGTCCATGGCACGAGGGGCACCTGCATCACGAATTAGCGCTGCTGCCTCCACTGGGGATCGCAACAGCCCGCGCCCAGTCTCCAGCTTGTTCTGCAGTTCAGCGGGGAGGACCTCCGTAAGAGCCACCTTGCCCGCGCCGATCTTGGGGAGAGAGATGTTCCCCCGCTGGTAGACTGTTCGAGAACCGGAGGCCTCGACTTCCGAGTAGCCAGGCCTGAGACCCTGTAGCGTCGCCCACGCTTCACGGGGACTAGGGCGATCAACGGGCGGCGACCACTTGCCGTAGGTCGTGGCCAGCCGCCTCGCCGCAGCACGTCGGGCCGCCGGCGGCGGGGCGAGGGCAGGCACATGGCGCCCCTGCCCCCCCAGCTCGTTGAGGGAGGTGATGCCGTCGAGTAGCCACTGATCCTGCCGCCTGCCGGTCGCAGCTCTCCTCCGTGCTGTGAGCGAAGTGCCCCACGCAGCTCCACCGCTCAGCATCGACATCAGCTCGGGACCGATCGGGATAGGAAGTAGGTCTCGATGACGCCCTCCGCCGCCGTCGTCACAAAACATAGTGCTGTATGACCAGCACCTCCCCTTGAGAATAGTCGACCGCTCGGGGGCAGGCGGGCGACCAAGCCACTTCGAAGTAGGGATGGGGCTAGGAAGCCCCGTCAGCACCGCCCTTGGCCTTTGCTTTCGCCTTCGGCCTGGTTGTGCTGTTCTCTTCCACACCACCTCGAGCAATAATCTTTTCTTCACGTCCTTTGCGCCGCTCTTTGAGTACTGCTGCCTCCTCCTGGAGGCGGGATGCCACCCAGCTCTGAAGTGAAGGGCAAACCAAAGCTCCACCACGCCCGCGCTCTTGCCCCAAGAAGATCTCACGCTCGTCGAGCCAAGCTGAGCCCCCTGCACTGCGCACCGCGCCCGCCTCGTGCTCACGAAGTCTGTTGGCATAGACTTCCTCCCAGAGTTGGCACCGTCGGGACACAGCTTCAAAGGTCGCGAGCTCGCCCTCATTGAGTTGGTCCTTTTCGGCGCCCATCTCCAGCAGCTCTGAAAGGAACTGATGTTCATCAACTCCAGCATCTGCGGCGGTGAGGTTCTGGGTCTGCCTCCACCACATATGTCGCTGCAGGGGAGTCTGGCCCAGCCCCCTGAACTGCTGCACCAGCCACACGGTCGCCCGCGGCCCGAGGACAGGGAAGTCCAGCTGCGGGCTGGAGGACATGATGTCCACCGCCTCCGAGAAGTCCCTGACCCTGGAGCCGCCGGAGTCGTACTTGACGGGGAGAGTCCGAAGATCCTGCTCTGCAGCTTGACGCTCCTGCCGGGGGGTGGGAGTGCCCTCATAGGTGTCGGCCTTCGCGACTGCCAGCTTGGTTCCGTCGGCGAGCTCGCAGATGCCCCGATCTCCAAGAATGGCGACGGGCACGGTGCCTGCTGGAAGCTCGTCACCTGGTCGGTAGCCCACGCGAGCCTCCAAGGCAACCCAGCGAGGAGCGTCAACAGCGTCAGCCCGACCCAAGAGAACCCCACCAGGTGCGGGCGGTGGCGCGAGCGCCCCATGTGGCTCGTCGGGGAGGCCCTCCTCTCGGCGGATCTCGCTAGCCAGCTGCTTGCCCTCTGCCAGCAACCTCGCTTCGTTCCTCTTGTAGCGGTCCATGTCCGTGCGGAGGATGTGGCCCGAGAGCTTCGTGGGCAAGCCCCCGAGGGGGCCGACTGGGCAGAGCTGCAGGGCGTCCGCGAAGTCTTCCTCGTAGATGTCAAAATGTGGTGTGACCACCACCCACCTGGTCGCAGTGATCCTGCCGACCAGGATCCGTTCATGCCAGTAATTGTCCTCTTGCTCGTAGTAGGCGAGGACCCGTGTACCCACCTGCAGGGTCTCCAGGGCCTTGGCAGTCCGCGAGGCTGCCATGGGCCACTGACTGGGTCTCTCTGCGAGCGCGTCGTTTTGTCGTCCAGCCAATGACCTCGCGGAGCACTGCGCCCAGGACCAATCCGAGCACGAGCGAGAGGGCGAGCTCCAGCCGGGTGTGCCCAGGCTCGGGGCAGGCTGGCGTGAACGTCGGCTGCCCGTGCAGGTGCTCCGGACCGCACCTGTCGAGCTGTCCTTTCAGCAGCCCGATGAGGGCCTCGTCGGGCGAGGCGTCGAAGTGGCAACTACAGTCGCACCCGTTGCTGCTGCTGCCGAGCCAGGTGCCAAGCGCCTGGCCGCCGATCGCCGCGACCCAATGCGCCCCCGCCCCGAAGAGGGCTGTGGCCATTCAGAGAATGACTCCCCGAAAGAAGTGCCTTGAGCGAGAAGGCGACAGACATTAGCAATCATTCACGCGCATCACTTACAAGCATCCACGGCTTATCGGCTTTCACGGCGTTGACGACGGCCCAATAGGCCCCCAAGACCGCCCCAAGACGGCCCAAGAGGCTCCCAAGAGGCCCCCAAAACGGCCCAACAGGGCCCCCAGACGGCCCCAGAGGCGCCCAAGACGGCCCCAGAGGGCCCCAAGACGGCCCCAAGAGGGGGACCACGAACCGAAAAGTCTAGCCTTTCGCCCCAAGACGCTCCCAGGAGGCCCCAAGAGCCCCCCAAGAAGCCCCAAGAAGCCCCAAGAAGCCCCCAAGAGGCCCCCAAAAGGGCAACAAAAGGGCCCCAATAGGACTCCCACGAAGGCCCAGAGACGCCAAATAAAGAGCGATCGGTAACGCAAAAAACTCTTCACACCAAGGCTCCCAAGAGCGAACGGTGACGTACACAAGCTGATAAGACCAAGGCTCCCAGCAGAGAGCGGTGACGTAACAAATTCCTGACACCAAGGCCCAGCCGAGGCTCAGGAACGGGCGGCAACGCAACAATCTCTGAACAGCAAGACTCCCAAGAGCGAGGGGTGACGTGACAAGCTCTCAACGCCAAGGTTCCCAATACGAACGGTGGTGTGCGTAATTTCGGTTTCTGTTGCTGCAACGCTCTTTCCGTTTCCGTGCCTGGCCAGGTAACGGAAAGAGCGAGGCACGCGTGATGACGTTGAGTTGGGGCGAAGCCCTCTAGGGAGGGAGGGGCGAGGGGGGGACGCAGGGTTGGTAATGGCCATTTTCGTTTTTTTTCTTCAGGTTGTTGCATGTTTTTCAGTTTTTTTGTCTGGCTCCCCCCAAAGACGGCCCAAGAGCGCTCCAAGAGAGCCCCAGACCGCCCAAGACGGCCCAAGAGGCCCTCAAGAGGCCCCCAAGAGGCGCCCAAGGGGCGTCGCAAGAGGGCCCCAACAGGCCAAAATCCTTAATTTTCTTTAAGAAAACGTGCATTTGTAGCATGTACGGCTTTTCGGTTTTCACGGCGTTGACGACGGCCAAAGAGGCACCCAAACCCGCCCCAAGACGGCCCAAGAGGCTTCCAAGAGACCCCAAAACGGCCCAAGAGGGCCCCCAGACGGCCCCCGAGGCGCCCAAGACGGCCCCAGAGGGACCCAAGGAACGGGCGGCAACGCGACACTCTCTGAACAGCAAGGCTCCCAAGAGCGAGGAGTGACGTAACAAGCTCTCAACGCCAACGCTCCCAGTACGAACGGTGGTGTGAGTGATTTCGGCTTCTGTTTCTGAAGCGCTCTTTCCGTTTCCGTGCCAGCCCAGGTGAACCAGCCAGAGGGCCCCAAGACGGCCCAAGAGGGCCCCAAGACGGCCCCAAGAGAGCTTCAGATGGCCGCTAGACAGTATCTGAAAAAGGTGCTGTTCAGACTCTGGGGCGCCCCCAGACTCTGGGTTGGGGGTTGCTCCGACTTTGTCTCTCGTTGTCCGACTGTGCCTCCTCGCTCCTACCCCCTGCCTCCTTCTCCTGGTCCTCCTCCCTGTTTATCTTCCTACTCCCTCTTCGCCTGTTTTTCCCAATCCTTTTCTTCCTCTTCCTCCTTTTCCTCCTCCTCCTCCTCCTCCTCCTCCTCCTCCTCCTCCTCCTCCTCTTCCTCCTCCTCCACAGTTACTCAATATGAAAATACTCTCCCTCTTCCCCTGATGGCGTCCGGGTGATGGCCGCGCACCCTCCGCGTACGGTTTTTTTGCACACAGGATGCCCGGGAAATCCCGGGAAACGACTCTCGCTGAGGCGCCGGCGTCATTTTTTCCCAAAATGCTGCTCTCGTTGAGGCGCCGGCCTCATTTCTGCTCCCGAATCGTTCCGAATCGTGCTCCCGCTGCAGCGTGGGCCTCATTTTCGGATCGGTGTTTGGCCTCCGTCGTTCAGGATGGCGTTCTCGCCCCAGCGCGGGCCTTTTTCTCGCGCGCCCATCCGCCCGCCACCACCGCGCCGCACCGCCACCACCACCACCACCACCACCACCACCACCACCACCACCACCACCACCACCACCACCACCACCACCACCACCACCACCACCACCACCACCACCACCCACCACCACCACCACCACCCACCACCACCACCACCACCACAACCACGCACACACGCACGCACGCACGCACGTGCACCACCACCCACTACGCACGCGCGCGCGGAGCCACAGGTCCGCTACGACACGCGTCCGCGGATAGAGAAAATCAGCGCCATGGTAAGGGATGGGAGGGAGGGGTAGGACGTCAGATATGACGCGAGCGCACCTAGCTTGTCCGCCTCCCCCTCCCTCCCCCTCCCCCCCCCCCCTCCCTCCCTCTCCTCCTCCTCCTCCTCCTCCTCCTCCTCCTCCTCCCTCCTCATCCTCCTCCTCCTCCTCCTCCTCCTCCTCTTCCTCCTCCTCCTCCTCCTCCTCCTTCGTAACCATTTTGGCTCAAGCCGTTTTGGGCCCAGACCGCTAGTTCCGAGAGCGGGGGCCTTGCCTGTGCAAACTTCAAAACGGCACGCTGCATAGGCGAGCCAGATTCAGTTGCAAGCATCCCCGCCTTCCTGCCGACAGGATGGCGCCAGCCACTCCGCCATGGCAGCGCCGCGCCAACGAGCGCTACGACGCATGGCACGGCTGGAGCTACATGGGGAACGAAAAGGGCAACAAGGGCTATGGGAAAGGAGTTGGAGGCAGGTCACACCAAGGAAGCCAGCAGCAGACCTTGTGGAAGTGTGGGCAATGTCTCTGCGGCAAGAATTTGGAGAGCTACTGGTTCTGCAAGCACTGCAAGGCGCCCAGGCCCGAGCCCAGTGATCCCGAGCGCGACCGCTTGGGGGCTTGGGCGAACGGGCCGCCAGGCCTGCAGCCAGGACCACAGCCGATTCCGTCAGGGGAGGCGCTCAGCGAGGAAGAGCTCGAGCGCATGGTGTCCTTGGCCAATCGCTTTGGTGATGTGGCCGCTGCCAGCCAGTACGAGGTCGCGTTGGAGCGGCTCCGCGCGGCCAACAAAGTGCCAGAGGAGAAGCCGCTCCAGCAGAAGGCCACAGCAGCCCATCAGCGAGTTCAGTTCCTTGAGAAATTATCCCGGCAAAGCAACCTAACATCGATATGTAGTAGCATAGCTGGAGGCATGCAGCAGCAGTAACAGTCGCAGTAGTATTAGCAATAAGAGCAGGAAAGATGAAACAGTGGTAACAGTGAAGTAGTAGTTGTAGTTCGGAGTCCTGTAAAAAGGAGACACTGCTATCAACGCTGGAAATGTGTCAAAACGAGACACTGCTATCAATGGTGGCAGTCCTGTAAAAAGGAGACACTGCTATCAATGCTGGAAATGTGTCAAAACGAGACACTGCTATCAATGGTGGGAGTCTTGTAAAAAGGAGACACTGCTATCAACGCTGGAAGTGTGTCAAAACGAGACATTGCTATCAACAGTGGGAGTCGTGTAAAAACAAGACACTGCTATCAACGCTGGCAATGAATGATGATGATGAGTGCGATGATGAGTGCGACGATGAGATGATGACTGTCCTTTTTTCAGAGGACCGCGCTGAGGAGCGGCGTGCGAAGCGGAGAAGCTGCAAAGCGCGCAGGCTGAAAAGCATTGCAGACACGCGCAGGCTGAAAAGCATTCCGCGACACGTGCAGGCTCACCGCGCACAGCTGCACACGAGCGCAGGCTGAGAAGCACCACGCGCATGCAGGCTGAGAAGCACCACGCGAATGCAGACGGACAGACTGAACAGCACCGCCACAACGCAACCTGCATCTCATGGCTCCTCAAGCTCGCGCAGGCCATCCCAGTTGCTGTCGGGCCTTCGCGCAAGCGATCTTCGTCGCGGCAATCTTGTCCGTGAAGAGCTCGGCGAAGGCCTCGGCGATCTGTTCCGGGGGGCCGGATTCGATGATGCTCCGGTCAGGCAAGCCGTGGCTCAAGAGTTGGTTGAAGCTTCTGGGGCGCGACAGGCTGACGTAGTAGGCAAGCCAAATGGACTCCTTCTTGAGTCCTGGCGGAAACGTCCAGTGCACGATGAAGCCTGGGTCCGTCGTCTTGCCCTGGACGCCATGCAGAGTCCCCTGCTTTTTGGGCAGCACGGTCAACTGCGTCCTGGACACCGCGATGGCCGGGCCACCTGTCTTCGCTTTGAACTTCCAGGGGCGCGCCTGCGGGGTGATCGCGAGCACTCCGCGCAGGTCGGGGCCGGCAGGCTGAGAAGCACTGCCAGCTGTCACCGGCGCGGCCTTCAAGAAAAGTTCATCGCTGTCATCGATCTTGACATAGACGGCCTTTGGCATGTAGTAGAGTACGACCACGCCGTCCGAGACAATGGACGGGCGGCCCTCCACCGGAGGCTCCAGAGCGTGCAGCTCTATGCCTACCACTTTGCCTGGCGCGCCACGGACATACTTCGGCGGCAAGACGGATTCTGTCAGGATGACCTCCATGCCAACGAAGAGCGGCAGCAGCCCCGGCATTTTTGCGGTAGCGCCGATGTTGGGCTCCGCGCGCATCTCGTCGAAATCAGGCTTCGCGAGGCGCGCAGCTGGTCTGTCGATTGCTGGGACGTAAAAGAGCAGCTGGCCAGCATCGTGCGCATCAAGCTTGGCCTGTGCATGCATGGCGTAAGAGACGATGCGCCACTCATAGGCCGACTCGTACCAGCCTCGTGCTGCACGCAACCGAGGGTCCCACTGAGGTGGCTGAGCGGCTTGGCTGCTGCTGGCAGCAGGCTGAGCAGCACCGCTAGAGCTAACGACCTCTGTTTTGACGATCGCCTGCCAGCTCTCGTCAGAGATCTTTTTTCCGCCTGGAGTTCTCATGGCGTGGAGAACCTCGAGTTGCAACGGGTCTGTAAAGCGCTGCATCTGCACGAAATCGATGACGTACTCGATGTCGGCGAGCAACTTCCTACCCTGTTGGTGTTCGTAGGATTGGCCCG